AAGAAAATTAATTGAGAGTTGTTTTACACGATTTAAAGATGATATGTTTGTTAGTAAGATTGAGCCATGTGAGGAAGCAAAGAAAATTCTATAGAATAGTCTACGGCTAGGCACTCCTCTCAGAGCCACAGCCTACAAAACGTATCCATTCTTCTTTTCTAGTTAATATATTCAATGAGATCCAGGTAGAAGACGTGCAAAAAAATCGAAGGAGAAAGCAAAATTGGAGAGCGATAAAATGGAATCATGTTAAGAAAACTAGAGGAAAAGCAACAACATTTATATCTGAATTGTCAAGATCACAATGCCACAGACACAAAGAGCCCAAGAATTTGATACGTACTATTGTCGTAAGCTCTTCACATTATATCAACAAAGCGTATTTATCTCCCAACAAACACAGGTCGAAATTCTACAAAATCCATCGCACTGATAGTTATGATATGAGTGAATGCTAAAAGTACTAAAAATAGTCAAGAAGCAAAACAACCGAAAGAGTGCAACTATCATAACAAGAGGCTAAAAGCCTAAAATCTAATAAGGCATACAATGTCATCTCAGGTGCTAAATAGGGCTACAAGGGCTCAACCTTCATGAAGAGAAATTAGCATAATAATTAAAACCCCATATGCGGAAGAAGGTAGGTAAGACATGACACACAGTCTCAGGTACCAAGGGAGCACGTAAAGATTTCTAGATCGAAGGTAACCTCTGGAATTGCAACTCGTTCAATTATATTGTGTAAATGAGTGTGGAATCAAATATCTCTCATTCTGACACAAAATAAATAACGACTTCAGTTGTTTACTTAATATTCTATTTGAAATTAACCTAGACCAGGATGGAAAATCCTATGATACTTGCGGTTAGATATGTTGGAGGAAAGATGAGTTTACTAACTTGGATTGGCTAAGACTTTTAAGAGGACAACACTAATAGGAAGAAGGAAGTGAAAAAGAAAACTTGTATTTCTCAAATTCAAGACTTTACACACTTTTTGGCTTGTTACAAAATGGAGGGCACTACCCCTTTATATAGTGTTTACAAGAAGATTCTAGTCCACACATTTTCTAGAGACACCTAGACCACATATCAAGATATTTTCCTAGAATTCTCTAGATATTCTTTATAAAACTACATATCTTACTTAGATATTTATATAGATTTTTCTAGTAGATATTTATATAGATTTTTCTAGATAATGCTTCTAGAAATGCTATGCATGTTGGGCCTTTTAATTGATTTGGGCCTATAAGCAAAATTCTTAAGCCCATATTATTTAGTCCAAAAATCAAGTTTACTACTCAACATCCCCCCTTAAACTTGATTTTGCTACTCCAAGTAGAGTTCTTAACTTGCGGAACACATCATGCTTGAGTGGCTTAGTGAGAATGTCGGCGATCTGCTCTTGGGAGGTTACATATTTCAGCTGCACTTCTTTCTTTGCAATGCTTTCTCTTATGAAATGATATCTTGTATCAATGTGCTTGCTTCTATCATGGAATACTGGGTTCTTTGCCAATGTCAATGTCGATTTGTTATCAACATGGATTTCGATTGGCTCTTCTTGTGATACTCCAAGCGTCTTCAACAAGTTTCTAAGCCAAATCGCATGGTAGACACTTGATGTAG